AGCAACCAACTAGTTATTTATTATTGATTAACACTGAGTGAAGCTGGAGACTAGAAAACATTCTCAAATTTAAGTTGCTTATAAGGAAAGGAGGAATAATAAAATTTATGTTTGTTTGGTTGCTTTGCCTTAAGTTTTCCTTGGTTGATGAAAAAAAAAGGAAATTATTTTTTATTTTATTTTATTGTTTTCTCTAGACAAGGTTTCTGTGTGTAACAGTCCTGGCTGTCCTGGAACTCCCTTTGTAGAACAGGCTGTCTTCAAACTGATTGAGACCCACGTGTGCCTGCCTCCCAAGTGCTTGGATTAAAGGCATCTGCCCCCAGTGACCATCAAAAAATGGAATTTTTAACAGGAGATTAGAATCACAGGGTGAAAGGACACGTGGGATTTCTAAAATTCCTACTGGAAAAGCATAGCCACTCACTAATATTATAAAAATCAGATTTTTTTATATCATGTCTGAGCCTTCTTCGTGCTCATTGATGACTATTCTACAGAATTATAGAGCTTTTTAAGCTACAAATTTCCGTCCAGGAGTTTTCATTTGCACTCATTTTTCTCAACTTCATGTACATTCTTGTTTTATCCCCATCTACTGCTTCAGCTCTATTTAATTCTTTCCAGAATAATAAGATCATCAAGTCATTCTTGGAGTACTGAAAACAATAATAGTTTCCACATTCTTACAGCATTGTTATATGTACTGAAATATGTGTAAGAATAATATAAATAGGAAAAGTTATGACCAGTCAGTTAAAAACAAAGAAGTAATGTACCCTTATGGATAAAAGCATAAGCCCTGAACTCTGCTTAGGTTCAAAATATTATAGCAGTATTTGTTATCTCTGTGATATGTGATATTGGGCATTGTAGAGCTTTACTGTATATTCTTTTTCTTACATAGAAAATGAAGATAATAATGTTGCTTACTATAGAGAACTATTGAAAAGATTAAATAAGCTTCAGCATATACAGTTCATTGAGCTGTGCCCAGTGCATAATAAGTCTTACCTATGTTGTTTCCGTTGTTTAAATAGATAATATTTTTCCACTATTCAGTAGCTATTTTTCTTAGAGAAATAGAATCGCTAAGAGAACAAAGAAATACCAGTTAGCCCACAATAGATGTAGTACCCATGACTTGAGCAATCATTTCTAGTTAGTTCAGAAATGAAATAAAACTAAAATTTTATATGAAAAATAGCCTGTGTATCTTCTGAGAATCATGTTTATTATCTTGACAAACTTGTTGCTTTTTTATATTTCCTAAGTCTAATAACCACCTAAGACCTATGGTCTCCTGGTCACTTAATACAAATAGGTTTATGTTTCATCCTACCTGCTCTATCTTGCTGCCTCCTTACCTACAACTTCCACTGCCCGATGGTGGTGAAAAAATATCTCCATTATAACCATTAAGTGGGATTCCTATGTCCCTTACCAACATTTACTTCAGGTCCAAGGCAGTGCTCTTGAGTCTTGTAGCTTGACAGATTTGGCACTAGCCTGCCATCCCAAATGAATGTGACAAAACTATGTTTATACTGATATTTTAGGTAATTTCTGGATGTAACTAATTGTCCCCAAGCTTTTGTAAAAAAAAAAAAAAAAAAAAAAAAAAAAAAAAAAAAAGATTAATCACTGGGATAAGTTCTGCTCTGACAGCAGAGATATTTTATAGTAAAGAGACAATTTCAGCACAGTTTGTCTTACAGATGATCCTGAGCATTCTTTTGCAAACTCAAAAATCTAGTCAGAATGTCATTTTTCACTCAAAACAAGTGTTCTATATGGGTAAATCTTTTGTGTTTTTCTTTAAATCAAAATTATTAATGCTGTCTTTCAGTGTTATTCACCATTGGATTTTTCTTTGTGCAGCTTCAATGACTAGTACTTACTTCATCTAATGATCATACATAGTATGTTAGTGGAAACAACCTAGAATATGGTATTTTACCAGTTCAATTTCCCAGTTCTAACATTTACTAGATAGGCGACTCTAAGAAGTCATTTAAAGTTCTCCTATCTGTGACACATAGAAAATGAAATATGGTTCACTAGAACTCAGTGCTAAGGAGAAATAACTGGGGTGATAGATTCATGAAAACTCTGTGACATACAAATCCCTTACTGTACCTCTTTAATTGGTTTCATCACAACATAGAAAACTATAACTCAATTAAGATTTGCCTGCCAGGCCTAACACAATACTTCAGCCAGTGTTCCTGTGAAAAGGAGTTTTGGTCCTAGTATTTATGAGACTTGGCAATAATTCCTTATCAATGTTTGGTTGCTAATACAAATGAATTAAAAGAAAATACACACTTGATTTTTGAAATTAAAGACAGAACTATCATTTGCATTCCTCATGTATTTCCCATGATGCCAAGACTAAACAAATAATTACTACTAGATGAGTACTTGCTTATTCATTTTGTGTTCCTTCCTTTGCTAATGAAACAACAAAGATAGTTATATGCAAGACTTTACCCAATAACGGAAAAGAAAAAAATTAGCACATCAATGAATCAGCATTCTATTTGCACCTCAGAGTTCCTCACTTATTCAGCCAAGAAAAATGTTGATGGTTTCATGCTGCACATGAGTTTAAGTAACTAGTAATTAAGACTGAAGACTGTTTTTTTTGTTGTTGTTTTTTTGTTTGTTTGTTTGTTTGTTTTTGCTACAAGGACAAGACAGAAAAATTCAAATATGTGATCATGTATACACTTGCATTGTTTGAAAAATCATTCTATTGGATCAATTATTTTCTGGGCCTTGGAATGTACCTCAGTGGTGGTAGAGGTCTTCCGTGTATTATGACCTCAGAATCATCTCAGTTTCAGAAAGCAAGAGGAAGGAGAGGGAGAAAGGGAATGAGGAAGGGAATGAAGGAAGAAGGGAACATGGAGGAATGGAGGGAGGAAGGGGGGTTAAGAGAATATATTAGTTTGTTTTCCTGAACATACACAAGATTTAGTTTGGATCTCTGAATGCATCCTCTGGAAAGAAACTTTAGGTGGTATACAAAAAAACTGAGAGACAAGTGAGGGAATGCTCTCAACACTAGGCCTGGTTTTCTGTCTTGAATTATTTAGATAATTAGATCACCTTTCTCTTTTGCTGAAGAAATGGCAAATTAGATATACCATATAAATTTAGAAAATGAAGAAGCAAAATCCTAAGTGTGCTGTTGCACATGTGTAGCAACAAAATTTCAAAGACTGGGAAAGGAAAATCATGAGTCCTAGCCCACCTGGAAAACATAGCAAAACAATGTGCATGTGCATGTGAGTGAGTGAGTGTGTGTGTGTGTGTGTGTGTGTGTGTGTGTGTGTGTGTGTGTGTGTGTATACTAATGTACCAGAGAGACAGAAAAGGATAGAATAAAATCCTGGAAATGATGTCTATCTGAATAAACTCCATGCAGCAAGAAACCCATGCATAATTTTCTAGTATATTTTCTAGTTTAGCAAGAAACCCATGCATAATTTTCTAGTATATTTTCTAGTTTTAAAAACTAGCTATAACATTCCAAAACAGCCTCAAGTTTTGGGTGATAAGGATAGATGTTCTTCCATCTGTTTTATTATTTTCCTTTCTTTTGCATCTGAGGTCCTCCCATCCATATTCCTTTTCCAGTATTCGGAGTCCATCAGGGCTACTTTGGTTGCCAAAAATAGTGACAAGAAGCATTAATTGTCCATCTACCTTACTTCTGCAGCACCCAAACATATGCATTTAAAGTGATTGTGATTGCAAATCTGAGCCACTTCTTTAGAATTACTAACATGTTGCTGCCACTTTCCTATTACTTCATCAGAGTCATTTAATTAAATTTTAGAAAGAGTAGGAGGTGGGGCGCAGGGAGGAAACTTTTTTAGTCACACAGATCAATCCAATTTTTGGAGCTTCAGAATGAATTTTTAAACTTGTTGAACAGAAGCATACAAATCTGTGAGAGCAAGTGAAATAATATACAAAGCCTCCATTCATTGTGTAGGCAGAATGGAATGCTGGAACCCAGCAGCTCTCTAAGGAATGTTCCTTTGGCTTTGACTGTTCTGCTGGAAACAAGGAGGGAAACAAATATATAAAATGAATTTATAATGTCTCTGGCTTATTATGGCAAAATGATAAGAAAAGTTGGCTGTTTAATGTAACTGTCAGTTGCATATTCCAGGCATCCATTCTTTGAGGTCCCTCCTACATCCACACGCCTGGCAACCATTAGCAAGTGTACAAAGTGGCCTGTTATTGTGACTGTCCAAGCCTGTGTTCTTAAACTCATTCTGTCGACAGAATGCAAGCAAAATTGGCATTTTAAAGCAGGGACCATTCCATTTTTGGGTTTTCTTACATTTGCTATGCAACAGGATCAGTGCTGTAGTCCCCGGTTCAAGCTGAAAATGTTGCACAGGAAGACATATCACGTAAAGGTCAGATTCTTGTGTAATGATATTTTTATTTGTGTCTATACAGATGAACTTTAGTGCATACCTCGTTTTAACTCTTAATAGGGTCCTAAATCTTACCAAGCACTCTTTACTTGCTGAACCTGAAACTATGTTGGTATTCTAAATGGAATAATAAATGCATAATAATCAATGTATGATGTAATATGTGTATGATGCCATAGTACTAAGGTGAATTTAATATGTATTGTCAAGAAAATGTTCTTGTCTCATAGAGTTCCATTAATATACATGGATATTTTATACATGGACTTTAATTTATGAAATGTACTATAAAAGTATTACTTCTAGTTCATAGAAATAAGACATACATTCATTACATCTAATATGATATCCATTTTTAATCTCCATAATAACTTCATGATGCAGGACCGCAAGAAAATTGATGTAGAGAGTATTTTGTTAGTTGCCAAATTGGAATTTCTTTTGAAGTAATAATTTTTTTAAGTTCTCAAAATCCACATTCATAGCTAGTTTTTTTCGTATGGTAACTCTGTATGTGTTCTTCCTGCTTTCCGGCAGGATCTCCAAGGTGAAATTGAAGCTCACACGGATATCTATCACAATCTCGATGAAAATGGCCAAAAAATTTTGAGGTCCCTGGAAGGTTCAGATGAAGCAGCCCTGTTAAAAAGACGTTTGGATACCATGAATTTCAAGTGGAGTGAGCTTCGGAAAAAGTCTCTCAACATCAGGTAGGCAATGATCGTCATGGGGTTGGGAGATCCAGATGTGAATAAAGATGTCAAAATTTTCCTCATTTTACAAGCACAGGTAGCTAATATCTCATATGCATATGCTTATGTAAATCACCCAATTTCAGAATGATTTATTTTATTTTGAATAAGTGAATCATTCATTTTCTTGGAAAGGAAATGATACTTGAGGGTTCAAGTTAGATTAAAATGGGACTGTTTCCTAACCACAGGTGAGATGCATATTAAGACATTAGAGGAAATGTAAATAGGGAGCACAGCGATCCTAATTTCAGAGTCCTCTCTTGTCATACAAAGTGTCATACAAAAAGCAATAAAATTAGTGAATCTTTGTTATGGAATTCTCTTTGGCATTACTCTAAATGCACAACCAAAGGACATACTTTAAAAAGCAGAGCACATTATAATTAACAATTTAAAGACACCCTCACCAGAGTTCCTGCAGCTAAGGAGATTATAGCAATTTTTTTTTTAGCTCCTGTCTCTTACAGTTTATTAAACCACATCCTCTGTAGGTACTCTAAACTTTTTGATTTGTCGCCTACTTTCTTCTTTGTTTCAATACCTTACTTTTAGAAATGAATGTATACATCTTGCATCATTGCTAAAGGTGGTAAAGGGAAGATCTAGGGATCCCTGTACGGCTGAGATAAGTATAAGGAGGGGCCAAAGAGCACAGCTGATCTGTGAAGTGCCCAGTGGTACCTAAGGAGCTGGGGAATGCAAGGAGGAGAAGCAAAGCTTTCTGCTCTTTAATTGACAGGGTTTCCTAATCCACTTATTCTTATAGATATTTTTGTGCTTTCAACAGTTCCTATGAAAGCAGTGGCGGTGAAAAGAGGTAGAAAAGGACAAATGGAATTAATGATAGTTAGAAAAAGAATGTATCTGAGAGTGGGAGTTGTTATTTCCCTGAGGTAGTATTACTACAAAAAAAAATTGTTTTCCCACTTCTTTATAGTTATCCTAAATTATCTGCAATTCTAATATACAACCCTTATAATGAAGAGGAGCACCTGGAATTTTATAAACTTCAAAACTGTTATAAAAACTCAACCCACTATGAAATAATATTAATAATGCTAGCAACTAGCACAAGTTATGTGTTATTTCCCATCCACTGCTCTAAGTATGCCATAGTTTTGACTCATGTAATGTTATAGCAACATTGAAAGGTAGATTTCTATCTCACACTGTCTTAGCATTTGAAGAAAATGAGGGACAGAGAGATTAAATAAGTTTCCAAAAGTTACTTTGTTAGCAAATGGTATGTCTAAGACCTATTCACAGTGAGTCTAACTTTATAATGTGAGCTTTTAACCATCAGAGTATTCTGTGGAGCAGAATAAAGAAGAAAATTTCACAAATAAATGCATCATAATTGAAAAGATCGATTTGATTAACAGATTTCAAAGAAGATAATGAATTTACTTTTACAAATCTTCCCTTAAACTTGCACCAAGCTTCTTAGGTTCTCATCTTCATCTCAGTATTCTGCCTATGAGTTTTTATGTGTACATGTTAGTGATGACTTGGACGCAACAATGGGATATGACATTTTCAAAGGTAGAAAAACTATATTAGCTTCCAATAGTTTCAATTTTAAATAGAGGTTAGAATGCACAATGGCAAAGGCCACATTTGTAGCATTTGTCCTTAAAAAGAATAAAATATGAAGAGAAAACATGTTTCAATGGGTGAGGAAAGAAACATGATTTTCTTTTGAAGAAAAGAGAGAAAAGGGGAATATAACTAAAGCACTCTTGATACCTGTTCTCTCCTTCATGTTAACTTGGTGAAATTTGAACTTAAAAATGGCAAACAGAATTTCAGGCAAAATATGAGCTTTTCATTTTCACAAATTCCCCATATGCAAACATCTGCAGTTTAATTCTTACTGCAATTAAACAGTTACCTTAGCTTGTGCAAGGTGCTTTGAATTCTGCAACTTAAATATTCTGAACAATGGTTGGAGCTTTAAAATAGGTCTGTGTAATAATCGAGAATATGTTATAAGTACCCAATTATAAGAAACAATGAATTCTTTGCATCATATACTTTAGTTTATATTAACACATAACTGGAATAGGGGTATCATTCACTCCATAGCAGAGGCACAGCAGAGATAGTATTAGGGACATTATGCAATAAGATAAAAGAATCTTTGGATAATTGCTCATTGTTATATTTCATAATGAATATCACTACAATTATTTATAAAATGTTTCAAAATATCCTGGAAAAACAACTCTGTTTCTGAAAATTATAGCACATTATGTATTAGAAAATGTAGTGGGTTTATTGTTTTGTGAGGGCTTCTTAAACCATACGTGTATTTCAGAAAATAAGAGTGAGTTGTACAGAATACCATAACTAGGACACAATTTCTATTACAATACTCCTTAGTTCATAAATAATGATCTTGTAAACACATCTTATTCATTTTGTTACTAAACTCTTAATTTTTTTTTGTTATTCCTATGTCACATCCCCACTGTATTTCTGTCTTATCAAGTAACATTCTAGCCCCTCCAAACATGGAACTCCGAGGCAACTAGTTTCTGCTTTCTAATACAGACTTGATTTGCAGCACTTTACTGTCTCTCACACAGTGAGATCTGTGTATGGACATATAATGATTCTTATGCCTAGAACAAATCTCAACTCTTATTCTTTAAATTTGACTCAGATTCTACAATAGGTATTTTCTATTTGTGCTGTCCATTACCACTTCTTTCGAGGACTATTCTAATTTAAATTTCTAGGACTAAGTATATGGCTCAGTGATAGCATGCTTTTCTATCGTGAACAAGATTTTTGGCTCAGCCTACAATACTCACACACACACACACACACACACACACACACAGAGAGAGAGAGAGAGAGAGAGAGAGAGAGAGAGAGAGATAGATAGAGAGAGCATTCTTATGAGTGTTTGTGAGTTGTTTCATGTTTTTTGGTTCCTGTCAAATTAAAGAAAAGATATTGCCAGGTGGTGGTAGCCCTTATTCCAAGTACTCGGGACCCAGAGGCATGCAGATCTCTGAGCTGGAAGTGAGCCTGGTATATAGAGTGAGTTCTAGGACAGCTCAAGTTACACTGAGAAACTATAAAAAAGATGTGCAAAGTTAAATTAGGTTTAAAAGAATATAATCCTTTTATACCAATAATTGAATAATGGTTTTCTCTTCTGATGCTTTTATCAAGTAACATGCAATTTTCGGGAAATTGATTAAGTATATCAGTGCTACGAGACACTTAAATGAAGAGGCTTGACCAGAAAAAGGTGAACTGTTCAGCTTCTCTTTCAATTCTGAAACTCTATTAAATTCTGGCATACTTTTCAAACTCAGATAAGTCATTGTGTTTGTTTGTAGTGCATGTACATGTTTACAAATGTGTATGCACTTGTGCCTGTGGGTATAGCACAGGTGTGCAGAAAGCTACAGGTCAGTGTCATTGTCACTCTCAGTCATTCTCCATATTAGCTTTTTGTTTTTTTAATTTATTTTTTATAACCAAGCCCATTTAAATGAAAACAAACATTTATAGACAATATTTGGGAATTTGGTGCTGTTCTTTCCAAACTACTTCCTGCTGGTAAGGGGCGCTGTCATGGGGGATTCTAAGAAGATGCAGATATCCTGGCTGTAGTCTGTAAAGCTGCTTTGTCCAGCTATTTTGAATGTAGGATCACCTGGTACTCTGTTTCAGGTGGTCTGGCTTGATCAAACCACATTAGTCTGGAAGGAATCCACAGCTATTCATTTTCTGTGGAAACAAATATAGAAATCCTTTTCCCCAGAAACTTGTCCTTGAACTTAAATTTTGGAGTCAAAGCATTTTTTGTTATTTAATTTACCATTTTACATGTGGATCCAAGTTACCTCTCCCTCCCTCCTTTCTTCCCTTCCTCCCTCCCTTTTACCATCCCTGCCCTCTCACATGCACTCTAACCACCCTCCACTCCCATCCCCTCACCCCAATTCCATATGTAGGAGAATTCCATCCAGTTGGGGTCATGTAGATCTGGCAGGTCATGTGAAGTAGGGACTAGGGCTTCTCTCCTGTCTCTAAGTTAAGGCAGTTATCCCTCCATGGGAGATATGTTCCCAAGTTCCTTTTGTCCACCAGGGGTACATCCTGGCTCCACTGTCTGAGGTCCTTTAGACTGCTCAGTCCTTCTGGCTGAGACCCATATTCAGGGGGGGCCTGAGTCAGTCCCATGCTGGCTTCCCAGCTATCAGTCTGGGGGGGCCCGTTAGCTCCTCCTTGTTCAAGTAAGCTGTCTCTATGTGTTTCTGCCACATGGTCTTGTCCTCTCCATCTGCATCTGGGTTCTACTTTGACTTAGTGTTTATGTATGGGTGTTTGCTCCTGTTTCCAACAGGCATTAGATTAGGGCTCCATGGATAAGTTAGTTGTTGATCTCACTCTCCGGGAAGGGCATTTATAGTAGCCTTTCCATGGAGGCTCAAATTGTTAGTTGGCAGCAGTCTTGTAGTTCTCTAGACCTTTCTTTGTGTTCAATTTTATCTTCAAACCAATATTGGCTCCCTCTTTTATGTTCTCTCTCTCTGTCTCTCTGTCTCTGTCTCTCTCTCTCTCTCTCTCTCTCTCTCTCTCTCTCTCTCTCTCTCTCTCTCTCTCTCTCTCTCTTTCCTGTCTTCTATTCCTAACCGGGCTCAATCTTCCTGGTCGCATGTGTTTTCCTTTCCTCCCCCTCGTTTTCTCCTACTTCTCTCTCCAATTGCTGCCCCCCTTCCCCTGTGCTCTGGGGGACTTGTAGGTTATTTATCCTGATCCTTATCATCCCACTCCTGACACCAGATATCTCAGATAAATAAGGATCAGGATAAACAAATAGGCCGAATAGATGTTTATTCAGGGAGAAATAACTTACAACCTAGACAGATGAACACCAGGAAATTCAACCCGATCCTCTCCTCTCTGAGTCACTCCAGCCAGAGAGCTTTCCC